TTTTTTTTTTTTTAAATAATAAATATTTTTAATCATATAGTAAATCTTTTATTAATATAGTTTGCATTTGTTCAGTTTGCCGTTTTCTTTCCTGATTCTGTTCAACACCGTCATTTTCTGTACTCGTTCCTGTGTCACTCTGTAACCTACTGGGACTTCTAAATATTGATTCTGACCTATACTTCAATTACAAAATGGCAGTTTTCTGTCATTTCTTAATGATGGCTCATTTGTGTCCCTTGCACACGTGCCGTGTTCTGTAATTAGACTGTAAATTCATTTTCACGGAGGACGTTAAAGATGAGAGAGATAATGTCACATAATGTCAAGCCTTTATTAAGCGAAAATGTTTATTTCAAGCCTTTAAACTACATGGAATTATTCTTATGCCAAAATTACACCAGCCCTGCAATTACACATCCACATTTATATATTTATTTCTATGATTTATATAACGCCCATCTGCAAATGTGTTGCGGCTGACCTCCTCTAGCATAAAAATTGACCACACTGCTGATAGAGCCTCATCATAGTAGGCCAAATTCACTTCTAAATGTAGGTTTCAATTGCTTTTCGCTTAGTAGTATTGCCCCGGTTTTCTCAGATGACTGTTATTTAATGCTTACATAGGCCTAAACTGATCACAGTGCAGTTGGAACTAACTGCACAGTTAATCTCAGTAACCGTCTCACTTCTGCTCTGAAATTACACGCTTGTGTGTATTCACCGTGTTGGAGGGAAGCAATTAAACACCTCTGAGTTGGCACAAGGCTATCAGAATCGATTCTGAGCATGCAGATCAGTATAACTACACAAGTTACTACCATTACATCACCATTTTGATTTTTAACAAATATTTTGGGTAACCCTTTTCTTTGTAGCCTTTATGAATGCATTCATAATGTACGTTATGATGCATGTGTTTTCATAAATAATTGTAAGCAAAGTTAAAATATGTTAGAATATTTGCAGATTCCCTTTTACGTCTGAAATTGGCTGTTTGTCATGTATTTTAATGCATTATACTTTCTAAAACTGCAAAAGTGAATAGATAAATATTATAATGTATTATAAATGTTGTATTATTCACAAGATCATATAATACATTATAAGGTGTATCATAGGCATAATTAATGCATTCAAATACTTTTATTTGGCTATGATCGGTTTGTGACCAATGTTTAA